CTCACCCAGTAGCTGCCAGGAGCCCCTGCACCCCTCAGCCCGGGAGGCCCGTGATGGGAGCGGGAGGGGAGACAGAGGCAATAAAGGCATCGCTAGAGTCCAGTCTGCCTTTACAGTCTCCGCCATTCCTTCCCCCACTTTGGGGGTCTGCCTGCCCCCGGGGACAGGGACCCACCCCACCCCAGCTTGACGGGGAGGACCAAGAGGGAGTCAGGACAGGGCAAAGGATAGATCATGTTCTTAGTGTCAGACACAGAGCCAGAAGGGGTGTGACACTCCCTCCTTAGCAGTGAGACACCCCAGAAGCAGGAGTGTGGGTAGCAGGTACCCCTAACTCCTGCTACCACCTCACCACGTCCTCCTGGAACACAGAAGGCGGGTCCTAGAGGCAGCGGAGGCCTGTGTTTCCCTGAGCATCTTTTATCCTCTCAGTGGAGCCCACCCAGGGACCTTCAGGAGGCCTGGCTGCGGGGGGTTCCCGAGGGCTGGTGGGCAACCCCTCCCACCTGCCGCTGCTCCCTGTCCTCACCAGCAGCTTCGCCCACCAGCCTGGGAGTGCAGGGCAGCAGGAGTAACTAAGCAGGGAGTGTGGGCGTGGGGAGAGCACCCACAATGCACTGACCCAGGGGCAGAGTAGACAAGGGTAGCACCAAACAGAAGGACCTTCCCCGCCCCCCCGCCCCCCAGCACACACAACACCCTGCCTCAATGACCAGGTGCACTTCTGCTCCTTGAAGGGGGCACACGTACACACACACCCACACGCACACAGACACGAGGGCGACACAATACTCAGAGGGTGCAGCCAGGGGTCCCAGCCCTGACCTGGGGGAACCGGAACGGGGGGCGGGGGGAAGGCTGCCAGGCCTCCCCCAATGGGGGACCAGAGGGTGGGCCACTTTCCTTCCTGCGTGGGAAGAGGAGGTTGGGAACTCTACTAGGGAATAGACCTGGATGGGAGGGGGCAGAGGAGAGAGTTCTGTGCCCCTTTTCCCTGGGAGGGCAGGGGCCAGCAGAGCGTGGTCTGGGCTTGAAGGAGCGAGGGGGCAGAGAACTTCAGCAGGTTTTTTTTTCAGGATAAACAGGCTTATGAGTCCCGGAGTAAGTCCATCCGACTCTCTCTTCCCCGTGGTGGGGCGGGAAGTTGCTCCAAGGGAAGGATGTCGGAGGTGGGTTGGGACATGGTGCAAAGTGCTTGAGTGGCAGGAGCCCGAGGACCCTGCGGAGCTGACTGAAACGTCTGTTCTCACGTCTGTTCTCACTGACTGTTCGCCTCCAGCTTGTAGGAAAGCTCGAAGAGGAGGTTCTGGTTGTCGATGACCTGGAACTGGCGCACGTACGCCTTGGTCTGCAGGTGATGGGGGGATGCCTCCATATCCAGGCCTGGAGGGTAAGGAGAGAGCCCGTTAGGCTGCTAGACTCTCTTCTTCCTCTACACCAGTGGTCTCAACCTTCCTGATGCCGCGACCCTGTAACACAGTTCCTCAGGCTGTGGTGACCCCCCAACCATAAAATTATTTTCGTTGCTACTTCATAACTGTAATTTTGCTGCTGTTATGAATCGTAATGTAAATATCTGAAATGCAGGATGTATTTTCATTGCTACAAATTGAACGTAATGAAAGCGTAGTGATTAATCACAAAAACAATATGTAATTATATACGTGTTTTCCGATGGTCTTAGGTGACCCCTGTGAAAGGGTCGTTTGAGCCCCAAAGGGGTCACAACCCACAGGTTGGCGACCACAGGTTGAGAACCGCTACTACACACACACACACACACACACACACTGGCCAGAGGACAAGGGTGCAGGCTGGGACGGGTGTGGAGCAGGAGGGCCCCTGGGGAGGCCCAGGAGAGCGTGGAGAACTGACGAATTTAAGGAAATAAACATTTCTCCCCAGAACCCTCCCTCTCAGTAAACACTCTCCCTGTAAGGCTCTCAGGACCCTGGTACTCACAAAGGGGCCGGCTCCGGTATTTGCGGACAGTCCTCACTTTTTCAGCCACTGAATGCTGGGGGATGACAAGGAATGAGCCCTGAGACGGTCACAGACAGACGCTCCCCCTCCCGTTACGCTCCCCTTCCTCTGATCTCCAACTCTGTGGGTTTTGCTCCCTCTGGTCCCCAATTCTGGAGGGTCTCGAAGCACCAGAGAAGTAGGTGTCACCGGGTGCCAGATGAGGGGGAGGTAGAGTTGCCCCTCCCCCTGAGCTGCCTGCCTGTCAGCTTTGCCACCCCACCCGTGGGCGGGTTGCCACAGCGATGCCACCAGGAAGACAGTCAGAGTCTGTCAGGCAAGCTGGGCACCACAGAGAAAGGCTGCTGTCTCCAGGGGGTGCTAGGAGAGGGGGAGGGACCGGGGTTTGGCAGTGCCACCTACCAGTTTCTCGATATTCACCAAACCATCCACCAGGGTCTTACTCCCCTCATGCAGGAAAGTCAGGTCTAGGGGATGGAGAGAGAAACAAGTGAGGAAGAGGAGGTTCAAAGGGCCCTTCCCCTTCCCTGGAAGCCACTCAATCTTGGGGGGCTCCTCTCCTCTGGGCTCTCAGCTGGGAGGGGACTGAGAGGGAGAACGGGGGCATGAAGCATGGGCCGAGGGGCATCATTTGGGAACAGCTCTCACCTTTGAGGATCAGAGGCACAAAAGGAATCACAGGAGGCTTCATCTTGGAGATGACTTCTCGGTAGCTTTTGTGGTTCCTGCAGGGGTCCTGGCGTTCCGCAGAAGAGGGATAAAGGGGCAGATAGGCCAGGGTACCCCAAAGACGCCCCCCATTTCCTCCCTCATCCCCCTGCCCTAGCAGAGAGGGGTGTGAAGGGGGGGTGTCGCTGGGGGGTGCTGGGGAAGGTCTCCAATCAGGTAGGGGTGTGCTAGGGAAGTCTTTCCCAGGGAAAATAGGGGAGCAATCCCCCAGCATGGTGGGAAGAGAAGGGGGATCCTAGGCACTAAACACCTTGAAAGGGAAGCTTGAGGGAGAAGGTTTATGGGAACAGAGGGTCTCTGGGGTACAAGTCCAAGGGCAGAGAGAGCCAAACCCACTCACTGTCAGGTTCTCGAATTTGCGGAACAAGTTCTTGAATTTCCCTGGCAGCTTCTGCAGAGAGTTTGAAGGAAGAAGGAGTGTCAGAGTGGAGCTCCTTGAGTTTCATGGGATCCCCAAATGTGAGAGGGGAGAGGGCCTGCGTGTCTTGCAGGGGCCGGGAAGCAGGCGGGTGGGGAAGTGGAGTCCCCCTTGGCTGGAAGCAGCCCAGAGACATGAATTATTCTGGGGAAATGGAGGCCTCTGCCATGCACCAGGGGGCCTCACTGAGTGCTGGCTGCCATCGGACAGCCCCGTGTGCCACCTGGCCTGGGCTGCCTGCCCTCCCACGCAGGCCCGCCTCAGTTACTCATCTGCACAAGGACAGGGTCCATTACCAGAGCGCTGTACCCTAGGGCTGTGTGGGCGCCTCCTTCCCGTGGAGGTGAGCCCAGGATGTCAAGACAGGCTGGCGGCCAAGATCCCCAGGTGGGCCAGTGCAGGGGGGAGGGGAGGAGAGGGAAGAGGTCCCATTACCTCCCAGGTGAGCCGCAGGCGGCTGACCGCCGCGTTGTCCAGCCCCATGACCACGGCGTAGAAGGACAGCAGGTCCTGGTTCTGCTTGCAGCTGCGGGGTTGGGAGGCGGGGTCAGCGGGCGGTCAGAAGGCCCTG